AGTTGTTACTACTCTTCTAGTTACACACTACCATGGGTTGCACGGGAGCAAAAGACGTATCTCAACCCTCTGCTATATATGAGTAAGAATTCATCTGGTTTTAGGGCCCTATAGTGCACAAATAAGTCCAAATACAAACTCATTCTCATGATATGCTGTGCATAAAGTTTTGGTGATACAAATAAATGTGATCCATAGGAGCTGAATGAATGAATTCTGATGGAATGCCTTTAAGTCTTGCTCCCCAGTGCTAGTCTAATACCTTTCCCTCTCCCACCTAGAGAAGAATTGATTTTCTGTCTCTTACCAGCTCTCCCAGAGCAGTTTTCTTGCTTCTTTTTTGGAGCTTGCATCTCACCTTTTCAAAAAGTTAGCTTCCAAAGCTAATTTTAGAGCATAATTATGTTAAAACCCCATTTTTACCAGAAGTCCTGTGCGAGGAAGCCTAGGAAGCACTGGACTGCCCACAGCAGGGCTGGCATGTCAGCTTGCTGCTCCTAAATAGGTGCCTGAAGGCTTTTAACAGACTGAGCAAGACAGGCTAAGTGGGTTGGGGGTCAAGGAAGTGGCTTCCCCATAATAAAACATCTTACAGGTTAAAGATTTTTTTAGCCCTTTCAAGATTTCTCTTTGCTTTCCCTTTAGCCTAACAAATGCACAGCATAGAATTCCCCCAACAGATGCAATCCAATGGACAGCAAATACGCTCGTAGCCCAGGTGCACACAGAGTTCCTTAACCTTCATGTCACCTCAAGAGCCGACTGTAGGCCCCAGAACTGCATCATGGCTTCCTGCTAGCCAATAACTGGAGGCCACATCAAGTAGAAACTAGACCTGTAAAAATGCAGCTAAATGAAGCCCATCCCTTTTGGGGAACTTCTACCACTTCAAAAGCAATCCCTGTTTTACTCACTATTTTTGTTATTGAAGACAGACACAGACAGTGCATTCTGGATATGTGAGAGTTGTATATCCTCCCTTGTCCTCCCGTTTCTCCAGAAATCTAGTGCCACCTCTGTTATCTTTTCAGCTCCTGCATTGCTAAGTAAAAAGAAAACAAAGACTGTAGTTGGAGATAGTTTTAAAAGGCATCAAGTGTATAGACCAGCAAACCTGAGAAGCCACTTCTTACCTGAGGAATATGAAGATGGCTTGTCGGTAAGACACCCCATCCAAAAGCTCATAGTAGTCCAGGAATGGTTTGATGGAGTCAATGAGTCCTGCATGCATTTTATCCATTTCATCGAATATGAAGAGTGATCTGGGACAGATGCTCACATTTCCCCGAATCCATGACTGCAACTGGTCCTAAGAGGCATAAAAATAAAAGATGCTGAAAGAGATAGTGTTGAAAAGACAGAAAATAGCACTTGTGTGTATTGGCCTTTGTCCTGAAAGAGTAATTTCAATTGTGCCATTTTGAGACCTTTGGCTTCTTGACTAAAACATGGTTAAAAGCTGTAAACAAAACTTTTAACAAAATCTCATGCTGGTTCTGGAAAATTTTAAGACACCAAGAGATGGGATGGGACAAGCAGGAAATCTCCTTGTGAGAGACATACTCCTTTAAACATAGCAAAAATGAAACTGCACAGCAGGACACAGGATGGGCACCACCAAGGAACAGCAACACAAAGCAAAGCCCTGACAAGCAAAATGATTACTTTGTCAGCACTTTGGTCTAAACATCCTTAGGTGTCACACTGAATTTGCTACCTGCACAGCACCAGTGAGAAACTGCACCTGCAGCCACCAGCAGAAGCAGAAATTCTCAGCCTTGTGTTTTATTCATTCAGAAGTTTAACTGAAGACAATTATGAGCCCTTCTTAAAACACAAATCTGCTAATGCTTTGTTGTATTTGAAGATTCTCTCACTTAAGTGTTACATTTAAGATCAACAATGAAGTAACTGGAAAAACAAACAAACCACCCTCCCCCCAAACCAAACCAAACCCCAAAGGGTTGATCTGCTGACAGATGAATGAGAAGTAACTGCTCTGACCATTTGCAATGGTGCATTGGTTTTATATTCACTGTTCACTCAGTCTCTGAACCGCAGAGGCAGCACAGGAAGGTGCCATTGGGTGTACTGTGATAAGAACCAATATTTCTTCCTACTCCCTTGGGCAGCAAGATTCCAAGTGTATTCACTTTGAAACTAAAGCAGAAAAGGATCTATTTTATTTTAAAACTGCTCAGTTGCAAGAAGCTGTAAAAAAAGAGGAAACGGGTATTTCCTCCATTTAGAAATCGGGTTTGTAGACGGTCCTGGCCTCTTTTTAACACACACAAACCGAATAGGAACGTTCAGTCCTACAAAAGACAGTGGTACTCATTCAAACTCTGCTGTTAACAAAGAACAACACTCCCGCAGGAAACAAGCATCTCAGCTACCATTCCACATGATATCCACCTGCCTAGAGAGCTGCACTGACACTCAGCAAACTGACAGAACCATTCCAAATACATTTATCTGTACCTTTCTGACAACAGAGTGTTTTGATTTTGTTTTACAGCTAGGAAATGGATGCAAAGAAAAACTAAATAACCTGCTTGGTGTGCAGCAAAACTGAAAAGTAGAACCATGCCTCAGAGAGCCAGCTTCAGCTTGCCATGGTACCTGACACACATGGAGGTCAGGGTCAGCATATCACCTAAACCATGGAGACCTGCTGAATCATGCCCATCTTATGTCAGTCACATCTCTAAATAAATTGTAGGATGAAAATTAACCATAAAAAGAGGCTCAAAACACATGCAAAACCCCTACACATTCACAGGAAAATCAGTCTTAATGGATGTTATTACCCAGTTCTGTACAGAAGATTCCAAAACTAGCATAAGCTACAATTTACTGCATAAAATAGCACCTAGGTTTCTAGCACTGCTCATGCCATAGCATGGCACTGCAGCAGAGCTGTGCCCCACCGTGGGCTCCCAGCACCCTCTTACCTTGTACAGATTGATGCTGTGAGCATGAGGAAAGTGTAAAGTCGCCACGAACTGATGCACGTATTTACTCTGCAGACCTCTTTTATAAATGCTTTCGGCGACTATCTTACTGACAAAGTTTTTCCCTGTTCCAGTCCACCCGTGCAAGGAAAGGGCAAGAGGCTTTTTGGCGTTGGTGTTGTTCAAGAAGCCCTTCACAGCCTTCACAACCACCTTGCTCACCAGGTGCTGCCCGAACAGCTTCTTGTCCAAATTCTCCTGCAGAGCTGCACGGGGAGAACACGCCATCAGCAGCGAGAAGGGAGACGGGCTCCCCTCAGCTTTTGCGTCCTTCGAGGAGGCTCTCGCACCCACCCGGCTGTGAAG